ACAAGGTAAATGCAGACTTCCACTGAGACTTCTGCAGCTCTGACTCTCCCTCCAGTTCTGCTGCCTTCCCTTCCCTTCAACGGGCAGGGATCCCCAGGGTACTCCTAACTAAACCTCCCACACGCCAAACTCCCCATCAGATCCGCCTGCGAGGAAATCCAGTGCGACACCCTGGAAATCACCTCTTCAGTTAGAGAGGGCCTGGAGAGGGTGCCCAGGAAACAGTTTCTCCGGTTCTTGTATGCAAATAGAAGTAACACACCGTGGCAGGTAACCTGTGCATCAGCTCAGATAATGAGGGAGGAAGCGGTTTGTGACCTGTGAGTGCTATACAAATGACCATTATTATTACTATTAATTATACCAGCATTAGGACTATGCTGTAAGCTGCCAGCAGCCATAGAAAGGGCTTCGTGGTTAAAAGCTCTTGGTTCTAGTTTGCTTCTGTCTTAGATACAGCTTTGATCTTGTCACCTTAAATACTACATAGCCCTTGGTGATACTGTGCTGACCTCTTTTCCAGTTCTGTCTCCTGCAGGTCCCACATTTTGCCCAAACAGTCCACTCGCTTTTCTTCAGCCTTGCCCCGCAGTGGATCACACCTGAACAGGCAGGTCAGGAAGCGTCTCCTTCGAGCTACGGACTAACCACTCTCCTTCTCCCCAGAGCACACTTTCTAGAAATGAGTAGTCCACCCTGAGGGCTTTCCCCTGCCCGTCTTCCAGGGGTCCCTCACACCGCCACAGCCTGCTCTGACACAGGTCACCTCTCGGTTGACAAATCAATGGCAGAATGTCCCACTTGGCCTCACTGCAGTGGTTAAGACTGTTGACTACTCTTTGCTCCATAAAACTCTCAGTCCTTCTGAGCTCACTCTCTTTCTCTCTCGGTTCTCTTCCTACTTCTGACTGTTCCTCCTCAGCCTCCTTCACTGGTTCCTCTTTTCCACTCTTACAGACCTCAGCCCTCCATGCCTCTCTGTTGCTCCCTGGGGCAGCTCACCCACTCATGTACAAGGCTTTAGAGCCACTCTGTATGTTGATAATTCCCAAGTCTGTTGCTAGCCAGGATCTTCCATGAATCCCCAAATCTGGCCACCACCAATGGCCTCTTGCACATATTTATTTACCTGTGATCACACAGGTACAAATATATGCTTCAAGTCTGAACTTAACCATCTTTCTTCACCACTCCCCAAAGATGAATGGCCTTTAAAGAAAACCCATGCCCACCATGTCTAGACGTTGTCCCAACCTCATTTCTACTTCTTTACTAGTTCCCTTCCTCTCCACTTGCCCAAGTCCCAGCAGTCATTCCTTTAAGCCCTAGCTCAGGCGTTATTCCCCTTCACAAACCCTTCCCAACAGCTCAGGCTTATTGTTCACCTCTTCATCCCCAACCACCCTTTTCCTACTTATATCATTCTTAAATGAACTATAGACATCTTAAGAGGAGAGTCTTGCTTATAATCTGACAACAGGGTGTAGTAAGATTGGGTAATGAAGTTGAAAACTCCTTTGTTTTAAAGAGAAGTTTCTCTGCGAATGGCAGGAAGCTGCATGCTTAATATAATACCTACAGAACTTGACCAATGTGTAGACAGTCTAGAAAGATAAGTTCTCTAAACACCAGCTAACTCACAGGACATGGTTCCAGGCACCCCCCACCCCCACAGAGTGTTTCCAGAAGCACCACAAACTTCTGGCCACTCTGGAAACTTTGAACATGTCTTGAATGTCCACACTTCATGTTGATTACTCTGCCTCCAATGTCCATTTTTCTCTCTCCTGTTTCGTTGTAGGTTGAACATCTTGAGCCCAGATATTACCATCTCTGTGAAGCTTGCCAACTCTCTCTAGACTCCCCATGCATTTCCTCCTTACTTCTCTGTTCTGACGGGACACTGTTCTATTCCTACTGCAGTACTTACTAAATCATAGTCTAGTTGGTAAGCTTTATATCTGACTCCCCGAAAGTCTCTCAGGTAACCAAGGGCCAGGCCTGCATCATATTCATCTTTGGGCTGTCAGTTCAACTGAGTAAGCTGTGAGCAGTATGTGTTGCTGCGTGCTTTGCAGACACCCAAGCAGCAGGAGCTATTTATGACTTCCAATTTATGGAAGGAAAAAAATAGGCTTAGAGAGGCTAGGAGACTTACTAGACCAGTGTACACTCCCAGCACCTGGAACATAAATATTTGTTGAAAGACTGAATAAATATTATTTATTCGAGGTTACATAGCTAATAAATGGTAGAACAGGAGATTAAACCCAGATCTCTCTGACTCCAAATTCCACACTCTCACTATCCCTAGATAGCCCCCTTCCTTTACTTCACAACAACGTGGAAAGAGAGGCAAAAGCCCCTCCTAGTGAGGAACACTGTTCTCTTCCCTGGCTACCTCTGAAATAATCCCTGCTTAAGTATTCTATTTCAGGCATTTTAACCATTTTCCCAGTCTCTATGAGAGCTGTTTTCTCTGTATCCACTAAAATACAAAAACTCAACTGCGCACAGCACTCACTGGGCTAACCAGAGCAGGAGAAGTACCCTTGTTGAAGGCACCTGCTAAAAAGTCATTGACCTGGAAAAAAAGAGATGGACACCAATTTGCCCTATATATAAAAGTATACCCATTCTTCCAAGGCTGTCCCACCCAGATTATAAAGGAAAACAAAAAGTTCTGCTCTGAAATTCCCAAAGCCAAAATACTCTGAATATATAAAGTCTGGACATTGCCACCCTCATGTGGCGTAGGGAAGTCTTTAAAAGTCCTCTTTAAAATGATAATGTTTTGGTATACTTCTTTTCCTAAAAAAATAAAAATAAATTGAATGCTAGGGGGAAAAAAACCCTACATGAAAAAGCATACAATTTCACACCTATCCAAAATTAATGGTTGCCAAGTAATCTTCAAAGGCCCATGTAACAGGTGCCTTGCAACCAGGCAGTTGGATGGTAAACCCAGAATTAAGCCCAGGAACCTAGAGAAATTCAGTGCCTAAGGAAGCTGCTATGCTCAGACAGACAGTCAGTTTCTCATTCCAGGCTTGTCATATCTACTTGCCTCTGCCTAAAAATGCTTAGATGTTCTCTACTAACAAGCTCTTGGACCTTTTCAGCAGGGCACTGGCTGGCGCGAGCATTGTGCCCATGTGGGTATGGTGGTGACGCTTAGGACGTATCACTATGGCTGGTTGACTCTGTAATGTTTCTTCAAGACACCACCACTGTCTTACTAATCACAAGGCGTGTAAAACCTCAAGGGAGTGCTCAGTGCAAAACCAGCAGTAGCACTGTACAATATTCAAAGTGTCTGTTGGTGGGCTCAGCCGCTTTCTCTCCCTATATGGAAGGCAGTGGTCATGCTCTTGGGAGAATGGAACAGCCTCTAAGAGCTGGTTCATTGGTACAAAGAACATTTCACTGCACTTTAATAATCCCGCTTTTATAGTAAAAGAGTCTGTTTTCTTGGGAACTGAGGCTTAACATTTCTGCCCAGCATTAGCTAGCTCTACTCCTGACAACTATCAGTGGCTGTATTACAAACTACAAACACTACGAGTAATACAAACTTTTGATTGCAGTGTCCAGCATATTTTTGATTCATATAAATTGGTTTCAACAAACATTACATCCAATGTAGCCTCTTTCCACTGCACAATGACTGAGAAATTCAACAACAGTCGGATGCGTCTTCCATTAGAAAAAAAAGTATAGTTCCATAAGGTTCACCAAAATTAATTATTAATACAAATACAAGTGGCACATTGGAACACTTAATTGAAATAGACATCACCATCCTAAATATGACAGGACTTAAGGTATTTAAGTCCACTTACCTTTTGTGCATTTTCCCCATCTTCAATTGCAAAATCTAGTCTGGACTGCCTGGGGTTGATCAGATCGTGTAGTGTTAAACAATTCACCTCCATCTGTAATGCATAATTATATGGGAAAATGACTTTACAATTGGATATTTTCTCTTTCAACAGAAATATCTACTACTCGCTCATGAACATGAACTTCCCCTCCCTAACTCATCCTGGGAATTTCCAGGCTTGTATCCGCCCTAGCTCTCTAAAACGCACATGAACAAACACTTAAAGTGTGCTTATTAATTACTGAAAACTTGGGAAGAAAAAAAGCTTCGACAAAAATAGTAATTTTTTAATGAAAAGCAGTAGGACAAAATTAAGTTCCAAGTCAAGAAGGTGTAGGACAAATCTGCCAGAAAGTACAGGGTCTCCTAGGTCAGTTAATTTTGGCGCAAAGAACTAGGAGGAATTCGGCTTTGAGGGGGTTTTGAATCAGGGGGAAAGGAAATCTGATCGCTAGACCAAACCCACCCAGCGCTTAGCGCAGCCCCTTCCCAGGCCTCCCAGCAGACCCCAAGGATAAACTGTTGCAGTGAAACCCCCAAATCCCGAAGAACGGCAAGTCCTCTCTACTGCCCCGCTGGAGGGAGAGCTAGAGCCAAGACACCCCACGCGCGCCGGGTCCCGAGGCGGAAAAGCCTCGATTCCCCGCCAGCTGGGGAGGGGACGGGTTGGCAGGCTGGCAGCCGGGGCGGGAGGGTGCCCTTTCCCCCCAATTCCCGCCTCCTCGCCAGTGCTGGGGCCACACGCTACTTACTCCCGTTTTGCGAAGGAGGCTTCCTGCCTCCACCGGGACCTCCACGATCCCACACCGGCGCGGGATCAGCTGGGCGAGGTGATCAGCAGCCGGGCGGAGACATCTGGCGGGGAAAGCGAGGCGCTCAGTTCCCCGCTCCGAGTGCCCTGCGCTGGCGGGGACCCCGCGGCGTCCGGGAAGCGCCAGCGCTCCGACCCGCCGAGCGCGACTGCAGTCCCCGATCGCAGTCCCCGCTAAAACACCTCCTCTGGCGCCTTGAGACCGAATTTGAGAATCCACCAATCAGCGGCGGCCGGCGGGGCGGCCCCGGCCAATCGCGCGGCGGCACGGCCCGGGCTCGCCGCCCCTCGGAGTCTTGGCGCTCCTGGGCGCGCGTTTCGCCCTCACCCGCCCAATTGTTGCCGCCTCGGCCCCCTCCCCCTTCCGGGTACCTGGAAACCTCGGGCCCGGGAGCCTATTCCTGCCGGGGACGCGGGCCCGGGCGGCCGCGGGAAGCCAAGGTGGGGGCGGTGCGGGGCGGCGCGGGGCGGCGGGAGGAGGAGGAGGAGGAGGAGGAGGACGGGAAGGAGGGCCCTTTTGTTATGCGAAAAAGACCCGCTCCCGTCCCCTCGGCTTGCCGCGCGGGGAGACCGCGGGCACAGTCAGGGGAGGGCAAGCAGATGGAGTTTTGAAAAACGATATACACAGCCTGGATGCTGCTGCCGCCACCCCGCCGCCCAGCAACCTGCGCGGAAGCTGAGTTGTCCGGGCTTGTTGGGGCAGACTTCCTCACACGAACGCTGGTGTGACACTCCATGCCGCGAGCAGATGGCACGCCAGTTAGCCCTGGTAACTAGTTTGCAGGCAGGACCAGCTGTTTTTTCTTTCTTTGCAAGTCCAGGAAAGTTTATTTGTGGTGTCCCCTTTTCAGAACGTCGTCGGTGATTAGCCTTATTAAGTAACTGCAATGTGGACTAGCGTTCTGGGAAACAGTCGAGAAAATTTCCTCAACATTGCTGATTTGTATTAAATGTTTCACTTCCTTCAACATTAGTTTTTTACTTTGAATATGAAATGTTGATAGACAGCCCTGTGTGTGTGTGTGTGTGTGTGTTTAACAAATGTTAAGAATAGTTTTAAAGTTTTACAGAAAAATTGAAGAGATAGGACAGAATCCATGTATCTGGCACGCAGTTTCCACCTGTTCATTAACATCTTTATATTTGCATAGTACGTTGGTTAAAATTAGTGAACTAATATCGATATATTATTCTGAACTAAAGTCATTACTTGATTCAGATTTCCGAGATTATTGTCCACTGTCCTTTTTTCTGTTCCAGGATAACAGCATTACATTTAGTCCTCGTGTCTCCTTAGGCTCCTCTTGGCTGTGACAATTTCTCAGACTTTCCTCATTTTTGATGACCTCGACAGTGTGGAGGAGTCCTGGTAAGTTATTTTGTAGGATGTCTCGTTATTGGAATTTGCCAACTTTCTTTAAAGCACGTCTACAGACATTTCCCTACAAACAGTATACTTGATAGCAAGGCTATCATTCTTATTATTATTATTTCTGTACCATGTGCTCCACGCTCACCTCCCAAATATATTTAACATTTAATATTTAAACAAACTGCAAAAATGAGAACAGTTAGTCAAGTGCTTCATCTGTGCTCTATTAAGATTGGTGATAGGTACAGTCTAAAAATCACTGCTAGGTCATACATTAAAAAGACAAAAAAAAAGCACGGGTAACATTAAACATAAAGAAAAATAGTAATAAAAATTTGACATGTTAATAATCCAGATGATATTTTGAACTGAAATCTTTCTTGTAGGTAGAAGCATAAAGAGATAAGTATAAAAAATAAAATTGTGATTTGTTAAGTTTTACACTTATGTGAAAGTAGAAAACT